GATGTCTGTTGGTGTGACTAGATTTATTCAGCGCATAGTTTCAGTGAAATATCGTCTGTCAGTAGGATACTGGTTCAGTAGAACAAAGGGACCGAGATACTATGATATGTAAGTCAAACCTTCTATATCATATGACTTTTGTTCAGTGTATTTAATAACACAGTAAATATTCTATCAAAAATATTGTTAGTTCCTGCGTTAATGAAAGCGCGAGTATGATTATTAGTATATGTGGTACATGTAATAATAGAGTAGTTTATTATTGATTGAATGAATGATTTTATGATGATTGCAAGAGTGTTCTTATTTTTACCATGCTACATGTATAGGTTTGAAGTTTAATTTGAGTGATGCAAGAACAGTGTATAGCTATATTACAGTTGATTTTAGTTTAAAGATTCTATTACTCATTTTAACAATATCCTATGGAATGCACATACTAGTAGATTATAGTCTTACTCCATATTGTTTTATAATGGTCATGGTGATCTGTTTTTGTGGATTATTATGATGAATTGATATATACATGTACATGTATGTAGGATGACTACTACAGTGTAATATTCGGATTTTACAGTTAACATATTAATAATATCTATGACAAATGTATTTTGTAATGAATTAGGCATGTCCACTTCTTTAACTAGCACTGCAAAACTTGAAATGTTTGTAACGGTTTTATTTTTGAAATTTTTGCAGTGTCGTCTCTACCGTGAATTCATCACACTGCAAATATGCATTTCCAATGTACTTCTATTACAATACCAACAAATTTTACAGTATTGTAAATATATCATGCATTCGAATTAATTCATGACTTCTTGTTTTGGAATTTTAGATGTTGAAATTTCATCTATATTCCTGGATATCCCATAGAGTAAACTCTAACCATATTATATAATCACCTTATGCACTTCATTGGTTGATCCTATCTATTCTGTTTTATTTGATTACATTCCTAATGTTATTGAATAATTTTCTAATTTCTAAGCCAATTGTCGGAAATCTAATCATATCATTTTACCATCATTTTAACTCATTTTAAACTATATTGTTTGCCAATCGTTCAGCTGTATATTGTTTAGCACGGTTTTGTTTTTCTGTTTACTGTGAAATGCTTTGCCTTATTTGTTGATATTTTGGTAACCCTGCATGGCCTTATATTTGCCACAACATACTTATTATTTATTTTTGCCAGAGTAAAGTTCTAAGAGTAAGAATTTTAGGTCTTGAATAAACTGCCTAATTTTCCTGAAAACTGTGAATGCTATATTTCCAGCTTCTGCAGTAGTGGGGTAAGATTGTATGGCTTGTCTTCGAAAAAAAAGTCAGATTGTTCTTTGATTGGAAAAAGAAGTCAAACCGGATTTTTGCCATTGTTGCAGACTGAAGAATGTATATAATGTGGTTTACAAAGTGTTCTGCATGTAGTTGAGCAGGGTTTTTAAGTCCTATTAGATGCTTCAGTGGAAAACTGGCATCAGATTTGTACACGGTTACCAGATGAATACACAGCCACAATGTTCACTTTCAAAGTCAAGGTCACAATCTGTTTTCTCAGTGGTAAAAACAGTAGCAAGGAAGGTGTGTAATTGGTTTATCGATAGGAACATACATGTGTTACAAAAGCAAGATGGCATTCTTCCAGAAAAATAAACCCTGTGCCTTCGCCCTGCCAATATGAATATGTTACCGGTATGTTTTCGTGAACATTTGTGTGTGTGTCTTTGTGTGCGTCTGTGAACACGATAACTCTAGATGGCTTAAATTTATTGTCTTGAAGTTTTAGTTGGCGGATAGGTCTTGATGAGACCTGAATGATTGAGAATGAGAATGATTAGATTTTTGGCCACCTGGCAACTTGGTATGGTACTACGTGGGAACTTTAAGTTTTGGTGTCTCGTTGAACTACAACTATACATTTAGTACCAATATGTTTTTATTTCTTTGTACAGAATATTATTTTGGGTAAATATTGTGTTTGTTTGTCCAGACATACAGTCATGTAGTTGACAGCACATGGGTGGGGTGAAGATTGACAGGACAGAATGACAGGAGGTCAAAAAGTCAAACGCAGGAAATGGCTTTGGGCAGGAGCTGGCAGGTATTAGAGGTCGGCATGTGGGGGAATTCAGGAAGCCAAGGCTTGTACAAGGGACCCTACAATACTTCCCTGACATCAGATCCTGAAATCACTGATTTCTTGTTATATTTAAGCTTCTTTAATTATTTAGTTCACATATTTTTGTTTCTTTGATAGTCAATGATACCATGCCCGTAGCCAGGATTTTTAATGGGGGGGTTCGTCCCACTGCTTGAGGGGCCCTCGAGCGCCGTAGGCGCGAGGCGAGCGCCGAAGGCGCGAGGTTCCTAGGGGGAAAATTTTGAAAAATGAACCTTCTAAAATGGCATTTCGTGCATTTTTGAGAGGATTTCCAAGAGAAAATCAGAGATAAATTTTTATTCAATGACAAAGAGAGCAGTTTTTCTACGATTCCAGTCCATCTTTTCAAGAAAAAACTTGGACCTTTACATAAAATGTGGACCAAAAAGTGGACCTTTACATAAAATGTGGACCAAAAAGTGGACCTTTGCATAAAAAGTGGACCAAAAAGTGGACCTTTGAGCCTTGTGGGGGGGTTCTTCCGAACCCCCCGAACCCCCCCTGGCTACGGGCATGGATACTCAAGGACAATATGTATGTTTGCATATTAATGTATAATGGTGATATTAGACAGATTTTAGAATTGATCCTGTTAGCTATTATATGGTCTGTCATGCATGTATAATAGAACAGTCATAAATTCAGAAAATGTTAACTACAGTGCTTTTCTAATGTGCTGCACACATATAGATCGGATTTTCATTAACATTAGAGCCATACTACCCCATATATTTACCATGGTAATGGGAGAAAGGCGTGAAAAAGTAAGCATTAATGTCGTACATTGATACTGATATATGACTTCTATTTCACCATTTTATTACAACAGTCTCCTCTCAGCAATTTTATGGTCTCAGGGTCTGGCTATGGAATTACCGTAGACCTTGAAACATTTGTGATGGTTTTATTTTTTTTTGGTTAATCGCGAATTTAAGGCACAAATAAAACTCCTTTTCCCTCGTACCATGATCAAAACAAAACCACTGCGATAGTAAATGAAATGATACAAATGTATAGAAGGTTAGACTTCCATATCCGGAAGTAAAAAGTATGCCTGAAAGAACAGGTTAATAGAAGAAGCAGACGTGATGTAATGTAAAAAGCAGGGGGAAGTAAAAAGTTGTCATCTCAACAGGAAGGAGGACTTAAAAACTGTCAAGAACCTGTTGGTACAACAATGGTACTGTCATCTAACCCCTGGCAAGGTTAGCTAGATGTCTGAACTCTGATAACATCTTCCATATGTCGGACATTGTTGAGCTCTGTCTTCCAAAATTTACCTCTTATTTGTACACGGTAACAGAAGTGCTATGATTTCGTGACAGAAATGTGAGGAGGTTGCCGTGTGTTGTTTGTTCTGTGGTGATTTATTTCCCAAGACCTCCCAAGAGTGGGGGCCGCAAGCCCTTTTCCATAGAGCGTAATCGGCCGTTTTAATTCTACGTAGAGCGTAGACGGACCGTTCTAATATTTTTGCGTAGAGCGTATTCGGCGTTTTAATTCTACGTAATGCGTTGTAGCCACTTGGAATTTATCGTAAAGAGTAATCGAGAGGTTTCCGAATTCAACGTAGAGCGTTGTCGGGACCCCTCCTTGCAGGCCCTCAAGAGTTACCCGCGCGTGTAACCTTTGTCTATACAAGAACAGGAAAGATGCAACATTTCAGGAACTAGAGTAAAGATCAGATGTCGAGGAAGTCCTCAGGGCATGGAAGTTTTGGCAAGGAAGTCTTCCTTAAAAAGGCTTTCTGCTTTTTTATCTTTGGATATACAACAGCAGGAAATAAGCAACATATTCTAAGAACTTAAAGATTTAATTTCAACACTAGAAAGGCCAATATTTGCTTTGGAGCAAATATAGCGATGGGTTCACCACATTTTACCACATGGCAGGGAAAGAATGAGAAACACAAGGGAAAACAATGCTTTACATTGATATAACTATAGTATGAAGTAACATACAACTAAGACTACAACAGTTGGATAGCTATTCCCTACATTATTGGTTAGGATTGCATAATGCAAACAGTTGATTTTCAAGATAAAAAGAAGCGTTCATAGCCCGCATTCCAATGCTGGAGCAGGAAAGCTTAAAATACCTACCAAAACACTTGAATACAGACATACTGTCAGTATGGCATGGCTCTGTGCAGGTGTAAATGAAGTTAAGCCAGTTAAATCCCAACAGCCAATCAGCAAGGAGAATAGAGGAAAGCTGCATGCCTATTGGTTGATGCCTTGCATGCCATTGTGATGACTCATGTCCAAATGTGGTAAACACTGCACACTTACACAGTAATACATTAGCTATTACACAGCCAAAAAACTCAAATAAAACCATTCTAAAAGCCTGTATCACAATAATTTAAAAAACGCCTAGGGGTATTTGCCCACTGTACCTCCATACCAAATTTCAGGACCTTAGGCCCTAAAATGAAGAAGCTGAATCCATTTAAAGATATGGCAGGAGGAGGAGGAGGAGAAGGAGAAGAAACATCAGAAAAAGCAATATGGTTTCACCACACCACTTCGTGGTGTGGTGAACCCATAAAAAAAGGCAAAAGGAAGTCTGGCTCTCTTGTCAGCAAAAATTTGCGGAAGTCTTAACAAGGATTTCAGCTGCTGATTTTGATGACTTCTGCCTTTTTTTCTGTGTACTAACTAACGTATTGTTCTACAGTTTTTTGTCTCTTGAAGACCATTGAATTTTGTAGTTCTAATGCTGTCTTATCAGGAAAAATGTAGGGAAGTCTTTGCAAAATTTAAGCTGAGTTTGATGACTTCTGTTTTTTTGTGTGTGTGTACTAACATAAAAAACTGTTTTTTGTGTCTTGCAGACCAATGAATACTATGATGATTAGCTCTTTGAGAAGACGCCGGGAAGCAGTTATTTGTGTTTATGCAAACTGAAGTTTCTGCTGGAGACAGACAAACAAACAGAGATGGGAACAACGGAGCCCATACACGGGGTATTGGACGATGGAGGGGAGAACACAGTGTTGGTCAGGGTCGCCATACCTGACAGACACATACAGGTCAGGAGAGTCATTTATTACCTTTGTCAGATGGTTATGTTTTTGGGACCTTTCGGTGTGTGTGTGTATGTGTGTGTGTATTTAGCTTGATAACTCAAGAATATATGGATAGATTGTCATGAAATTATTGGTAGGTGGGTAGGTCTTGATGAGACCTAGAAATGATTAGATTTTGGGCTCCCTATATATAGCGGCCACATTTGTGGAAGCATTAAACATAACAAGTGACTATCACCTTCGCAAAATGTCAACCTAGAGAAATGAGACTGTAAGGTTTGAATCACCCACACTGTTTGAGGACCCTTTCTCTTTTTTAAGGGCTTATGTGGTGGTGGCAAGGTGGTCTTGTGGTTAGTGTTGTTGACTTAAAATCTAAAACTTCAGTGTTTGAATCCTTAGCAGTCCCCAATGTTATGCTCTTGAGAAAGGCATTTTAAACCTATTTCTTCACTCAGGTGCCTAGCTTCGGTTCGGGATGTCCATTTGGATGGGACATTAAAACACACAAAACATTTGTCCTTTATGTTTAAAATTGGTTGGGGGATCTGTCAGGCTCGATCTGTCAAACCTTTATCGCTCAACAGTAGCTGGCTCCAGTGGAAAGGTACATGTACATGTAGCCTGGATGCCAGACTGTTTCCTGGGCCTACACAGGCCAGCTCCTCAGGGTCTAATTCAAGGGTCTGTGGCAAAATTTCCTTGGGGGCATGTTGGCCCTGGAGCCAATGACCTGGGCTTTGTATGCCCTGAGAACAGTTTGGCACCCATTTTAGGAATTGGGTTGTACCTGTAAGCGGTGAAATGGCAATAGTTCAGAGAAGTTAAGAACCTGCCTTGTGTGTTACAGAAGTGCTTCCGTTTCCGGACAGATGACACAGTGTGGGCGGCCAAGCAGATGGTCCTGACACAGTTAGATAGGGTAAGTACTGTTCTCACTGTGTACTGTAAACCTTTAACAGTGGTTTTATTTCACAATAGTAGGGAAAAAGAGGCTTTTGCTCTGTTCTGGATTTGCAGTTGAAATAATACTGTAGTACAGTAGTCACACAAGAAAGCCATGTTTGTGGAGTCATAAATTTGTGGTGAAGAAGTCGAAGAAGTAAAATCGATCTGCTTTTACATACGTCAAGAATTTGCGTTTAGGTCGTATGTTACCTTGAAGGCTGGCATACAATCTGAATGCATGTTCTTGCTGTACGTCAAAGCAGTCCAATTTACATAAACGGTGTCGCATAAGCCCACACGGGCTGGGCGCGGGAAAGCGCACGACACGAAAATAAAGATTCATTCATTCATTTATTCATACACACAGGAAAAATGCGACGTACACAGTTTGTGTACGCCCACATAGGCACAAAATTGTCAGGTTTTTGCCCACGTGTAAATCAGGTCAAAGTTTGATGGTAATAGATTTCCTGTGGAAACAGGTTCACACTTGGTAAATCCATAGACACAGTGATTGGCAATCAACAGACCTTAACTACAGTCATTAAGAAGTCATGGGTCATTAGTTGGAGTAAATCTAGTAATTACTTCACATTTGTCTTCACTGGACCTTCGGTAATGACAAGGTCTCAAAATTTAGACTGAAACGTCTTAAAATCTCACTTAGCTGACGGAAGGAGTCGATCTGAACATTTCTTTTAGATATGATAGTTTGCAGTTGTACAATGTTGTACATACTGTTTTTGTGTAATGTCACAGGTGAATGTATGACTGTCTGTACAATGTATGGAAAAATAATGTTGGCTTTCAAACCTAGACCCAATTTACACATGGGGACAATAACCTGACGTTCTGAAAACTGCCAGCGTCAAATTTTTCCTGTGTTTATATGGACCTGCTTTGATGTAAATGTTCAGATTGTTCGCCAAGCCTCAACGTAACATATAATCTGAACGTACATACTATGTTTTACCCGTGCATATGCAGTTTTCGTACTTAAGATTTTTGCCTACGTGTAAATCGGGCTATTCCTTTGGTTATGCAGTCTGTACACATTTTACAAAAAAAAACCCATAAAAATCCACTGTCCACTCCATAAGTTAACATAATGCCTAGCTACCATCCAACTCATAATATTTTGTTTAGTCTTTGTTTTTCAATTTTTGGTGTACAAGTCCTGTTAGTAATGGTAGTAGTATAGTAGTATAGGTACATGTAGTCCTAGATATACAATTCATGTAATATGTAGCACTCTAATCTACAAGCAGATGTTGGGGTAGAAAACTGTCATGTTTGGATAGAAAACTGTTGATTTTCACCCACGACATCTGCTTGGAGATTTCTAGCACACCCTAACATAGATGTTTCCATTTGTACCTTATTCCCCGCTGTCCTGTTTCTGCTCCCATGGTGCTGTGGTAGAGGGAAATGGTGAGACTGACCTTCATTCTGTATGCATGTTATGCATGCAACTGTATTTGATTTTTCTCTTCAATGTTAACAAGCTAGGGGATCTGTAGTTTAACCTTCTCTCTGCTAAGATAGCTTTTTGACTCCAAAATTTGTATGATGTAAGGCAGCAGGGAGAATGTTAATGTATGTACAGTTTGTTTTATTTGTTATTTGTTGTTGTGAATTTCTTACTGATTGTGTGGCCCAAGGGCTACTGAAATGGAGATGGGCACCGCCCTATGCACCACGTGATGCGAGAAAGACTATTGTGAATTTCGTACTGATTCTGTCTGAGGAGGTTTAAAACCTCCTAAAAATGCTTTCAACAGAGGGTTTAAAACCTCTTTGTTCTGTCTAAAGCATTTTCCCACTGGCTTCCATAATAAAGGCAATGGGCTTATGGAAGTAGAAAATTGAAGACACTCAGGAAATGAGATAACCTTTTCTGGGACCTTTGACCTAACGCCCTGTCAGTGCCCCCAACTTGCCTATAGCAAGTGGATGTGGATATATCTACAGAAACACAAGCAGTCACACAAACAGGCACTCCGAAAACAAAAACCTCTACATGGGCTCCCAAAGAAAAAAAGAACCATCCAATATAAATATAGAATACAACACGGGGTATTCCGTATCGCCCGAGGTATCGGCCTGACTGCGATCCGACTCGCGGGAGGGCCGGGACCGAGGGCGATGCGGAATACACTGTGTTGTATTTTATTTATATCATACCCACCCAAGAAAACGCGCCTTTCAATGCAAGATTAGCCAAAAGTTGGTGCCCCTAAACCCTCAAATGCAACAACATCAGTTCCAACGTCCGGATTCTGTATTCGAATTTTCGAAAGGGGTACAAGCGGGTAGGGCGAAACGCGTTCGAATCGTTTTATGGAAGCCATGGCAGCATTCGATAACGGGTTCCGGACCGGGCCGTACCGTAAAGTACGGCCCGGTCTGGAACCCGTTATCGAACGTTATCGCGGCCCGGGTATGATATAAATGTACATATAGCCCGGTTGCCAGACCCATAGCACACTGGACACAAAATGTACATTGCTAATGTACATCTATATTTAAAAAAATTGTATTATATGTGGCCTCCTTCAGTTGATATTGACCATGGTAAAAGCCTAATTGTGAGATCCTACATAATGTATAGCTGTATAATATCTTGGCACAGGGTTGTGCTTTTCCCTACTTAATGAGAAATATTGATGAGGAGGCTATTCCTATCCTCCCATCCATTTGTTAGTCCTAATTCTACTGGACAATAATAGATAACCTGTCAGACTAGTAACAAGCCCTGACCTTGGTAGGACTTGCCGTAATGACTGGACTTGTACTTCCATAATTGAGTAACTTAATGGAGTGTTCCCTCATGTCACCATTGATAAGGCTGCACAGATAACTACTACTACTACAGTAGGGCAGGGGTCAGGGAAGTGGCTGGATCTTGCAGTGCTGTGATTGAAGCACTGCTAGATCTTGGAAGATCTGGAATATGTACTAGCAATGTCACTAGCATATTCTATGCACATTAATTTAAAGATATAAACACACTAACTGAGAAGAGTAGGGGTGAATTTGTGTACCTAGAGCACTGCAGAAGACCTGCTTTGGAAAAAATTCTGAAGAAATTAAGAATAAGTGGTTGCAAAGAAAATTTACGTTTTAGACTAACTAGTCCTAATATTTTAGTTTTGGCTAGCACAAAATGTATATGATTGTATATTGGATTTAAGGTTGCACCTTGCAAATACATGTAAGTTGCACTGCATGAAAACTATGCCAATTTTTCATATTGTATTTTTGTATATAAAGCAGAATACCCAGATAATGGTAACAAGGATCACCAGTCTTCTGAACATGGTCTGTTAAACATGCTGTTATTTCAGTGTTAATGTACACCCATTCCAGTTGATAGGTAATTCTAGCCCTGATGACACTTAGACATTAAAACCTGCTCTGTTCATGTGTCAGGCTACTGAACATGTGCCTTACCTATTAACACTCTTTGATTCAAATTAAGATGGAAGAGATAGAAGCCTTAGTGGCAACATTAGCTAATCAGACACCCGGGCCATCCAATCAGAGGCCAAAAATTAGCTTTTGATTCGTAGAGTTTCTTCAATTTTAAAAGCCAGTTTGCCATTCTACTAATTTTCGAGTTCTCAAGTCAACTTTTCCGATTATGCAAACAAAGAAACTGGAAGTAGCATATTAAATTTTAAATAAAACTTTTAGTAGTTAAAATCATGGTAAATGATGTACAACTTTTTGTATAGGTGTGACAGGCCAGTATATGCCCCTGGTCAAAATGTACCCCGGGTACATTCTAGCCAGGGGTATAACCTAGCCTGCTACACCTGTATCACAAGAACTTGAAATTTTTCTATGTTTTTTTTTTTTTCAATATTGCCCTTGTCAATCACCTTTCTCTTTGTTTTTGTACTGTAATGTCAATTTTAATCCCCTCTTTATGCATTAGTGCTATATAAGATCATGTTAAACACCTTTATAAGAGGTTGTCATGCACTGGTCATAAATTTTTTAGTACCCATACAGTAAGCTATTCATCAATAGCATTGCTGTTATTTTTGGAGCCATGACATTTAAACCCAGGTGGAAATCCCCCAATGAAAAAAAAATGTCAAAATCTTTTCAGCAGATATTTATGGGAGAGTACATATAGTATTAAGCTGGGATTTTTTTCAACGTGAGATAATTTCAATAGAGGATAGCGTGACACTAGTATGGGCTGTAAGAAAAAGATTACTGGAACGTAAAAAAATCAATAAAAAAAATCAGGCTGATTGATGTTAAAAGATTTATGTCTCTCTGTAAATAGAGTTTGAGAAATTATGCAAAAGCCTGAGTTATGTAACAGTTTATACCTGTTACAGTCAACAATTTTTGTACAATTCTGAATGTAAATTTGTACACATACAATGTAGAACTGTACAATATTTCAAAAGTTATCCTACATTTCTCGAAAGAAAAACTGATGCAGCAACAAATGTTTTTAGAAAACAATCTGGGTCTATCAAGGTTCAGAATTCAGCTTGCTGGTTTTTTTTTTAATATTTCTTGCACTCCATGCGTTATTGTGATCAAGGAGCTTTCATCACAAGGAGGGAGATCGACCTTAGCCGCCCGCTGTGCTCCATTGTTTCGCCCCGCTGCGGCCTATTGTTTACAGGCCCGGCGGCACATCGTCAGATCTGTATGTTTGTAGCGCGTCTTCCCGCGGTTTTCGGCCGATAATGAGCTTAGGCATGACGTCACACGCCCCGATCTGCGCCGAGCACGGGCCGAGAAGGGCCGATGTGTCGGATTTTTCCGGCGATTCCCATATTTGGAAAACTCGGCAGGGTTACCCCGAGGTCATATTCGGGTGCGGAACAAGATGGCGCTTGTTTACGTACTTTTCTCTATGCTGTACGATAAACACGGGCGATTTTAGAGCATTTTTTGTGGACCGGTCTCTGATTTCTAGCGATAGAAATATGAAAATATAGCTATATTTTTATGTGGCTGTAAGAAAAGTATGGATTTTTTCCTCGGTAAGTGGATATTTTTTCCCTAACAGTTGAACATGTGCTCGTTCAAATGACGAGATCGTAGTAATTCGTACCGTTCTCATTTTTGTCGTACCGTCCCTGCTTTTTTGAGAATCTGTCGGTTCTTGAGGAAGGAGAGGCCGACACTTTGCGAGTAATTTTTGCGGTGATCGGGTCTTTATTTACTAGTACATGTACATCTTCGGCTCTCTCGTAATCTAGTATTTCTTCGGTCGATTTTGGTTGTGACGTACTGACCGAGATTTCAAAGTAACTTGCAATTCTTCACACCACAATCGCTACTTGTAAGTCCTTGGCTGTAGGAATATTACCGACAAATATTTAGAAAAAAGAAATATGTTATGTTCTATTCCGCAGACCCCACATTTTTACTCTTGCTGTAGAAATATAAAGCGACCCACGCAGACAAATAAATGCAACCCATCTGCAGATGTTGTATAGCATTGATTCGAGAAATCATCGCCCGAGTAAAACTCTTTTTCCTATTCTATCATTTCAAAATCCTCCTCAAACCTGCAAAAATAAAAATCGCTCCATAGACAATTCGCCATTACTAGGCTGTGCCAGGTTGTAAACAACCTGAATAACAAAAGGAAGGCGCTAGCGCGCCGGCATGGGATTCATGCATATGAGTGTCATTGGCACTCGGGTGTGAATCAAATTTTCACACGCGCTACGAACATCCTTGAAAGGAAACTAAGGTCGATCTCCCTCCTTGTGATGAAAGCTCCTTGTTGTGATAAAGAGCGAGCTGTTTTACCAAGGCCAAGGTTAACAGCATTGTACTGTACTCCTCACTGAGACCGTTCTAGTTTAAGGGGTGAATTGTCCTCCATATGTACTAAACTATACATGTACATACATGTAAACACATAAAATTCCACAGCTAGACTGGCTATCTGCTAGAAACAAAGTCAGGAACAGATACATGTATGTAAGCATAATACTGGCCAGTCTTTTTCAAAAGGCTTAATAAAGGTTGTTACAATATGATGATATTTTTTGTTGTTTGTTGCACCAGGCCCTCCATGATGGAGTAAACTACGGGTTCTTCCTGCCGCCGGAAAATGGGAGAGCGGGGAAGTTCCTGGACGAGGGAAGACTGTTTGATGAGTATCCGCTGAAGGGACCCATAGGGTACTTAGAGGTAGGTGTTCCAACCAGAATAGGTGTTACAGTGGGGTTCAAGTGCCACTCACTGAACTGTCTAATAGACCCAGCAGGCCTTGCGGTTAGTGCGTAATGGGTTCATGTATATGAGCTTGCGGCCCAGATTCCTGCGAGCTAGAAGACTTCATGTTTCTACTTATCCCTTGTTGTATTATATACTAGGAGCTAAAGGTATCTCATTAAACTCAATTTTATTATGGATTGTTGCCTGAAAAATATAGGGAGAGGGTAATGGTTTTAAAGACAAATCTACACAGTGTGCTCTGATCCTGTGTTGTACCTGTGTTTCTAATACACATGTAGAAGAAGGTCTGACTAGTTTGTTGGGTTTTTATGTCATGGCTTGTTTGTATGCCTTTTTAGCAGGGTCTTTGATGTATCTGGGGACTTTAGTAAACACAGGTAGCCTGAGGGCCTCTGTCTCCTGCCCCCTGGTGAAGTGGTGAATCACCTTCTGTCTGTCCTGCTGCTGGTTGTACAGGGTGGCCAGGTGGTAGTGAGCACGAGGCACATAGAGATCACACTGTGGTGCCAGCCTGAGGAAGTGTTCAAACTGTCTGATTGCTTCTGTCTCAGACACTTCCTTAGACAGTGCGGCTGTGGAGTACACAGTCTCCAAATGGTCCTGTTTGTACATAAGGGAACTCGCCATGGCAGACAGGGCTTTGGCTAGAGCAGCCAGATCAACTGTTAGTTGGCTTGCCCACCTTTTGGCCACACCCAGGTAGCAGTAGATGCGGTGCATGTGTTGGTACAGCCAATCTCCTGGTCCATGCTGAAGGTTGGCATCAACCACCTGCTGCAGGGCCTGCACCCGGCTGTCTCCATGTGGCAGCTGTAGGGCCGTCAGCAGCAGACAGGTGCTGTCAGTAGGGTCAGCTTGTAGCTGGGAGGTCATCAGCTGCTTCAGTCGGGCTTTGTTCAGGTTCAGCCATGACTGTCCATACAGTACTGTATGTGTATTTTGCGGTGATACTATGTCATATTGCATGAATCCCTGCACCAAGGCCTTGACTCCCCCCAGGTCTGTGTACCCACTGCTGGTCAGGATTTCTGCTCCTTTCTCAAATGACCTGCAGGCCTTGATGTAACGTTGTGCTGTTGGTGAGTCCTTGTGATTCTGTAGCCTGGCTCTCTGCCACTTGAGTGGCCCCTCTTCCACCTCTCCAGCTGAAGTGATGGACATGGCTGCTACAGAGGACACGTCTTCAGGCAGGCCTGAGTCTCCTGCCGTAGTCACACTGGGTGGTACTGACTGGAAAGAGTGACACAGCATAAATTAAAGGCATCCAACGCAATTTCAGGCTAGCAAAACTGGATGTTCGAAGTCAATTTGTTTAGTAGATAGATACAGTGTGTCAAACAAATTTATCCAAGATTATCTGCAATTTAGATAGTCACATTTGGATGCAGGTGCTGGATACATGTGTTAAAATGTAAAAATGGACTGTTCCAAAATCATATCTGTTAAAAAATGACCCATTTCAAAATGATCATGAAGTTAAAATATTCTAAAATCATTAAGTTTACCATGTGCTTTTTCCTGTAATAAACCACACCAAAAAGTGAGGGACATGTACATGTATTCAATTTTTTTCATCATACCTGTTTCTCCAGCCATCCTGCCCACTCCCATCTCTCCTCTTCCTCCTCTGTCCCTGCTGCTTCTTCCTGTTCCTCTTCCTGTCCTTCCTCATCAGCAAACCACCACCCCTCCAGCCCCACTTGGATTGGTCCGGTCCAGCCAATCATGCGCAGTTCATCCTCTAGCAGCAGCTGCAGACAGGTGCGGTCAGTCCCCTGGTGGATCTTCTCATTGAAGCTGCGGAGGACCCAGTAGCCAGCCTGTGAATAAATAAAAGTACTCAGATAGTAAAACTACAGCCTGGGTGCCATCTTATTTGTATGATAGGGCTTGTTCTGCAAAAAGACCCATAAGATTGCACTTCCAAAAAAGCAGATGTTGGACCCACACTTCATCTATCCCCAATAACCTATCCACCTCTCAAAAACCCAGAACATTGTACTTCTATAACTAAAGACAATTCCTGAACTTCACCTTCCTTTTTATTGACTTTACCAGTCTACTAAATTTTATCACAATCCATTCACAGCATCTTGAGCTATCCTGCTAACAAACTGACCAACACAAAGGTCCACTGCAGTGATGTTTTAACCTGCCATAAGCCCATTTTCGAACTTGACCTTCCTCCTGTTAACCCTACCCACATACTAAATTTCAGTACGATTCATCCAGAGAAAGTCAACTTAAAAAAAAAAAACACAAAAGGTCCTCTGCAGTGACCTATCCATCCCACTTGTTCCATTTTCGAACTTGATCTTTGTCTTCCCAACAGTAACCTTCCTATCAAAAATCACAAACATTCATCCATGGCATCAAGAGTTATGCCACATAAATTCACATCATTATAAGCCAACTTCTGGTAAAGGTAAACAAACGTGTATATTTTGCTATATCTTACCAGTGTAAGGAACTTGACATGCACGAGAAGCGACCCTTGCTCTATGTTCTCTACTTGGATGTGCCGTTCTCTCTCCACCACCCTGCGGATGGCCTCGTCTGTCTGTTGCCTGTTGCCCAGGTAGAACGCTGCCAGGGTTGTCACTCCTGTAGCCACACCTAAAATGAAATAAAACTAGAGTTCCACGATCTCATACCTTCGCCAAATGATGTTAGCCTTTATGAATAAGAAATATACTAATCACCCTGATTATGCAAATAGGAGCCTCAATTGCATGAATTATATCAGTCTGTTGATCATATTCTCCACCAAAAGACAGTCTTATCTTAACAAAGAATGCCATTTTCTCATAAATTATGCAAATGTGGTCCTTATTTGAATAAGTTATGTTTAATTATGTTCACCTTCACTTAACTTTCAAACACCCCAAGTATGAAATTCCAGGCAGTTACCACTATGCAATTATAACATTTTCTCATTAATTATGCAAATTAAGTCTTCATTTGCATAATCGATATTTGCCTGTGTTTCTCTCGTTCTTAATAACATATGTTACAAGCTTGAACTTCCTATCATGGAATGCAGCTGATGTATAGAATTTCCTCATTAATTATGCAAATTACATCAATATTTGCATAATTGTAATATAATTATGTCAAGCATCACTTAAGCTACCTACATACCAAAAATCAGGATGATCCATCAATCGGTTCTTGAGTTATCCTCTTTTAAACATTTGTCCTTTAAACCTCCCTGCAGTTCTAGAGCAAGCAACTAGGGGGCTCATACTCATGTCACTTCATCCCCAGCACAAGACCTATCTACCATCTAAATTTCGTCACCCTAGCATGTCTGGATCATGAGATATCAAAACCGGAAGTTCTGCTGCAGTACCATGACAAGCCGCCAGGTGGCCCAAAATCTAATCATTTTGAGGTCTCATCAAGACCTACCCACCTACCAAATATCAAGTCAGTCCATTTAAGCCTTCTCAAGTTATCATGTTGACAGACACACACACACATACACGAACGCCTCTGAAAACATAACCTTCTTGGCGAAGGTAAAAATCAATGGTTTAAAACATTACCCGTGCAGTCACAGCCTTTATACGGCTGAGTTGATGCAGGGTATCACATAATAATCAATACAAATCACAACAGTCAAATAATACACATGACACACATATTTGTTCCTCTTAGGCCACACCAATTTAATTTCTTGGTTAACGGATTTTTCTAGAAAAAAAAATGGAGCGGGCGGGCGGAAAAAAAATAAAAATAAAACAGGCCTAGGCATCGTATTATGGCCCAAAATGGTACGATAGGAGCCATGAAGTCAACACACCTGGCTGGTTCAAAATTTAAACAATGAATTTTGGACTTTTAATGATACCATTGCATTGAAAGATGGAATAACTGTAACAACTAGGAAGAAAAGGACTATTTCCAACTGTTCAGGGCAAAATATGAGCATTTTGCAGTTGATTCTGGATTTTTATTTTTATTTTTATTTGCAAATCAGAAAAAAATGAAGCGGCGAATCCGTTAACCAAGCAATTAAATTGGTGTGGCCTTATTGAATCTTTGCATTATGCCCCCCTCCCCCATCCATGGCATCAAGAGTTATGCCACATAAATTCACATGATAAATTCACCTGCAGCCAGTCCTGCTCCCACCACGCCTGCAGCTGAGTCGGCAACCTTGCTAGCTGCAAACGCAGCTGCCGCAGACGCTCCAGCTACGAGCCCTCCTGCTGCAAGAGCCTGACTCTGGATCCTGATGCTTGCGCCACCAAAAGCACCTACGGACATCTGCAGAGCTGGCGGCTGCCCAATAATGTTTGCAGCTGGTTGGCCTACAGGGAGATTGTAGTGCACCAGCCCAGCTGGTTGGGGAGCCATGGGGAAGCCAGGGTTTGGAAACATGGCTGCTTGAGCCCCATACCCTTGCTGTCCTGGGTTGAACAGCATGGGAGCAGCCTGCTGAGGGAAATGCTGTACCTGTTGTGGGGCCTGGTAAGCTTGCCCTGCGGCCTGGGGTACTAGTTGGCCTGCCTGTCCATGAAGACGGACTTCTTGCTGATAAATGCCCCCCTCCCCCACCTGTCCAGGCTGCAGTTCTTCTTGAAGCTCCATCTCAACATCAGGTGGCAACAGCTGGCCCTGAGCACCTGGGAGAGGTTGCCTTGTTCCCTCAGCCATTTTTGCTGGAATTTTCTCAACAATGGACTAAGATTACTTGGTGTTTGAAGCCAAAGTTTCAACTGCTCGAACAGTAACTGTTGCTGTAAGAACTACGTGACTGAGTTTGCACCTTGACCCGGAAAGTTGTTGATCACAGTTTGCCCCCCATACGGGACATTGTAGTTAATGTTTAACTTGGACCATTCAGGTGACTTTAACTGTGCAGTCAGTTACGCACTGCTGTTTAAGTGGCATAAACATTAGGTAAATACAGCTTTCGGTAGCAAAACAAACTTATTGATTAAAAAATTAACATTCATGATGGGACACCATATTGTGAAAAAGTAGACATTATATACATAATTTACATTAACAACAATGTCAATCAGTTATAGACAATATTGCTTCTTGGCATTGTTAAAAATGTAAATTTGTGGATGAACAATATGGAACTGCATATTTATTAATTGTGTAAAAGTTGTCCTTGGCTGGAGCCCTGATTTACAGTAACAAATGCAGACTGTACTCCAACTGAATTCTCCCTTCTGTAGTTCAAGTACAAGCGGCGGGTGTACATGGCCATCGACATTGATGAGAAGGGCCTGCAGAGGCTGCACACGCGCGCTAACCTGCGCCGCTTTCTGGAACACGTCCGCTGTCGAGCGTTGGACAAAGTCTGCCGCCTGCTGAAGAAAGGGCTGGACCCCAACTTTCACGACCCGGAGAAGGGAGGTCAGTCTGTTTGTTTGTTTGTTTACACACTAATAAAAAGTAAAATAAAACTTGGTCGAGAAAGTTATCACTGTGAGGTGCATATTAAACCTGGAACATTTTCTTGTCTGTCAACTTGACCTCTAACTTTCAAACAAATTTTACAAATAAGCTGATATTTAAGCATGTAATGTATATATTCATGTTACTGTTATTCTAGGATTTTTAACGATAGTTAAATTGGATTGTGTAATTGACTGTCTTAATTACCAGCTACACTTAATTACAAATTATTGATGTATGAGTTGATATTCAGTCACTGTTCATACATGTGTACAGTTAGTGTAATGTACTATAGTATTTGCCAACAGATAAATAAACAAGCTGCTAGAGAATCCAAAATCTAATCATTAATTTTCTAGATCTCATCAAGACCAACCTACCTGCCAAGTTTCATGACAATCCACCTTAGCTTCTTGAGTTATCGTGCTAAACCACACACACATGCATTCATACAAAATGCTACCAAAAACATAACCTTTGCCAAAAGTAGTAAAGAAAAGCTTGGAGCTAACTTTATCTGAAATCTTCTCTCCCATTCCTCAGAAACTCCCCTGACCACGGCAGCCATGTTGGAGGGGAGTAAAGACATGATAGTGACCCTGGTGGAGGGGGGAGCACACAAGGACTTCAGGGCCAAGGATGGCATGACTCCTCTCCACAGGGCCGCGCGCAGGGGCAACTACAGAGCTCTCAAGGTCATACATACAAGATAGCATGTTGGCAGAATGTACTGTGCTTGCACAAAAGCTGTAACGTATTGTGCTTTCATAGCTTTAAAATGATGTCAGAAAATGTGCAACAGGCAAGATTTTAATGTAACAGTAAGCAAAAGACAGCGAAAAATAATGTGAAAAATTTGTGATGCGCACACCTTTCTGTTTCACAGTACGTTCTGCTGAGGTGCTGTGTGAGCTTTGATGTTGGCAGAACGTACTTTGGATGTGCAAAACCTGTAATGTATTGTGCTATACCTTAAAGCTTTCAAATGTTATATATCTTGTGCAACAGGCAAAATTCTATGGCAACAGTGGGCAAAAAACATGAAAAATCCGAGTTGAGAACACCTTTCACAGTACGTTCTGCCGACGTGCTGCGTGAGTTTTCTAAGGATACTTAGAAAATTACATATTAATGATATTCCAAAGTAATTTACTAAATTGTAAGACTATTTCATAAGGAAAACAAGAAACCAGAGATTTGAGACCTGTGAGAAGTGTTTTGGGTTTTCATGGATGTATGAAACTGTATGATGTAATTTCATCAGGTATTACACTCTGCCATTTCTCACCAATCATAGTATAACATCTGATTTTCATCAAGTTTATTCAGTAAACAGTATTCAGTAAAAAGTCTATAGGCAAGCAACCTTGAGAGCTATATTGATGATAAAGATTTAAGATACATTCTGTAATACAATTTAAATCAAGCAATTGGATAAAGTTTTCAAAGATGTATCATTTCAGATAACATCAAATTGTCTATTTTTCATCATTAACTAGTAGTATGTCTGAAGACCACTGTAGCTTGTACATTGTATATGTCATTGAGAGTTTTAGATTTGGAATTTAGCCTTAAGAATGCCATGGTTATTTCCTAATCTTTAAGAAAGCCCGTGAAGGTTTCTCATCCATGATAACTTGTCTGTGCAGTCGTTGTTGGAGCTCGGCTCCTCGCCTGACTACAAGGATGCCCGTAACCTGACCAGCCTGTACCATTGCTGCATGGTGGGGGGGAACCCCACGTGCTGTGAGATCCTGTTACACAACCATGCTGACCCCCACGTGACAGATGAACAGGGCTGGCAACCTATGCATCAGGTCAGACATAGAAACTATTTAGTAAACATACATCCGTAAATAATTTCATCAGGTTGGTAAACGACTGAATAGCAAAGTTCTTTCTATCACAACCATTTATTTTTCAAGCCAACATTTCGATGACCTTCTGTCATCTTCAGTATTGCCCTGATGAAGATGACAAAAGGTCATCGAAACATTGGCTTGAAAAATAAATGGTTGTGATAGAAAGAACTTTGCTATTCTATTTACATACATGTACTGTACACCCAGGCAAAAAACTAGCCTGGATGCCAGACCCAGCTCAACACAATACTCCTTTCCGCTGGGGCAAGCTACAAGCCTATCTGAGGGGTGGCTAGGTAAAATTTTCAGAGCCAAGGAGCTGTATATTTAACCTGTGGCAACAGTCTGGCACCCAGGCAAGCAAAAAACTGACGGTATGAAAACTGCGTACAAAAACTAGGTACTTCAAATGTTTCCTGCTTGTAAATTGGCCTGCTTTGACGTAGGTCAATACATTACATTCTACAGATTGTACATTACCCCGAGGGCTGTCATACAATTTGAATGTACATTGTGATATGAGATATGTAAAAAAAAAATTGATGTACACTGTTTTGTACATTTTCGCACAAACTTTGGCCACCTGTAAATTTGGTTATAGTTTGATTACAGATGTCAGAGTTGAAATAATATGAATGACTAAATAGTATAGATGAATTATAGATCAATTATATAATGTCTTATATAAAAACTGGAGTTTCCTAAAAGAAAACTCAGACATACCCAGACAAAAGTAAGAAATTTTGTTGCGCGGCCAAAGATATAATACATATTTAGCCAGACAATAGCAAAACATTTCTGGGAAAATCTTCAATATTGATACTCTTTTCTACGAATAATATTTGAAATACAGACCAATTGTGAGACTTTGACACAACATGTAGGAACATCCTGTTAATTTGTCTCCTTGCTGACTGTAAACATACATGATGTTGACTGAAGCTATTTTTAACCGGATGAAACTGTACATGATGGACAGTTTTTATGGTGACCGTGTCAGGCCTTGAAATTAACTTTTCTTCCTATTGCCCCAGCACTGTCCCAAGAATAAATTTCAATTGTCCCGAAATGAGGATGAACTGTCCCAACCTGTTTTGGGGAAGTATTGTATGACTTCATCTTGAAGTCAACTTTATTTTGCTTATGTTCACTCCCAGGTGCACTATAATTGCAGAGTAGACAGGAAATTCGGGGGACTTTTCCTGATCCAAAAGCCAGGATGTGTGCCTGATAAACAAAAGAAGGGCTGACATTCTGATGTTATTTTTCGATTACCCCCAAAATGTCCTTAAGTGTCTTATAGTTGTCCCAGACTAGTTGTCCTCAGTATTAGTGGTCAGTGGCCATCAGACCACCTTTAATTTCGAGCCCTGCGTGTGTCCTTCCCCCCAGGCCTGTCGACACGGCCACGTGCAGCACCTGGAACACCTGCTGTTCTACGGAGCAGACCACACGGCGCAGAACGCTTCCGGAAACACGCCGCTGCACATCTGCGCACTGTACAATCAGGTACAAGTTGTGCCTTGATACGCAAACCTGTTTTGTTTTCGTTGGCATGGATGGACGCCGCCATTTTGCTTCCCATGATACCCAGTTAGTGGTGCATGGTGGGAAGGGTGTGAAGTGATTTGAAGGGAAGGAGTAGTGTAAACGTGATGTTGTGGTCTTGGTCTTTTTGTTAGTGCACAGTACACTTAAACAGTGCCACCTGGCAGCTGTATGTACTATTGCACATTTTCTCACATTTGCCATTGATGGTGAACAAACATATACGTGTTAAGAAAAAAAATAAGAACATGTGAAGAAAAAAAATAAGAAAATTTTGTTTTGATTCATGAGTACAGATATGGAAATAATTAATTAATTGGGACAAGGAAAGATGTGTTTAGCCAAATAACATTTTTGTTGTCAATATGGTTGGTCTTGTTTTAAATGTTGAGTTTAAAATTTAATATCTATGAGCTCATCTATCATTTCACAGGAACCCTGTACTCGAGTCCTGTTGTTTAGAGGGGCCAGAAGAGACATTAAAAACTACTCCAACCAAACACCATTCCAGGTGAACTTTCCTGTTTCTGTTCCCAGTTGATAGAACGTTTGTACAAAATATACACTCATCTTCTTCTTTTTGAGTACCCTCGAACAACCCCTGTACGGGGTATCACTGAGGGGGGGAAACGGTACACGGGTTAGGGCAGGGCGGCTTCTACCCTGGCCTTAAAAGCCTCTACTGTCGGTGCCCTCACCACTGGGCCCGGCAGCTGATTCCACTCGCTTACCGTGCAGGGAAAAAAAGAAAACTTAAAACAGTCTTTATGTGCTGCGAATGACTGGAATTTGTAATCATTGCTACCTCTGGTCCTTTTGTCACACTCCTGATGTCAGTGAACAGCTATTTTCTATTTCTCCTGCTAGGTATTTTCTAATGAAATTAAAAGATGCTATAAATAATAGTTTGTTTTGTGTTCTTTTGTCTGTAGGTTGCTGCAGTAGCAGGTAACTTTGACCTCGGAGAAATCATCAAAAAACACGAAAGCCAGGATGTTGGTGAGTATGTTATACCTGATAAACTCATGTGTATAGTAAGGTTTATTCATTTGTAAAGTTTAGGACTGGTTATGATTTGGGCTTCCTTTGATATCAGCCCTTTATGTTCTAATAAGTGTAAGTAAGTTTATTGTTTGTAAAGTTTGAATTATTTCAGCATATTGTTTCTATTACTGTGACTAGCATATCTATGTTTTAATTAAAACACAACTTTAACATTACTAGGTATCCATTCATTTGTACCAGAACAATAATGCTTCTAAATAATTGTGTTCACATTGTGTTTTATGTAACCAGCCATGTCTTACATGCATGTACATGACATAAAACACATTTGAAGAAATAGTATCTAATGCTACAGTTCTACTTCCAACAAAATAGTGGCACTGCTGTACAAGTGTCTTTAGTTGCAACAGTTTTCAGATTTGAAAGTTCTTGTTTTTTATCGGAACAAGACCAGTTAGTTACTCGAAGTCAGAGTACATGTAGTTCTAGGCCTTTTAAGAAATGGCAAAATACAATCATCTGGTGCCTGCAATGATAATATCATTATGAACATTTTTTTATGTATGCATTTATTTGTTGTGATAGCATCTTAACACAAAAGTTAACACGAGATTGTTCTTGAAAGAACCACAGTCACAAATTTGGAATATTATTTTGATGCTGCAGTTCTGCTTCCAACAACATGGTGGAGCTGCTGTACAAATATGGAACGCAGTGAATAACTGTTGACTGTTAAAGGCCGTTGCTATTTATGATTTGGTCCATCTCAGTTCTACCCTTTCCTTCCCTCAGATATAGATACACTGCAGACATCCCCAGTAGAAGGTAGGCGGGGAAAAAAACTAGAAAATTTCCAAAAGGGGACATTTTGGTGTCTGACCAAAACATAACATTTAACGATACTAATACACATGATTACCACCAATGTAACTTTAACCTTTAGCACTCCAAGGGCACCATATGGCACTACATTAGTGCATTGGTTGCTGATGAAGGTGGAGTGCTAAAGGTTGATAAACCCACCTCCACCAGTAATGATGCTAACATTCCATTATTTTGTTTTTGCAGGCCAAAATCTAACCTTGTTTTGTCAGCAATTTTCATTATAACAAAAGGAAGTGGTTAGAAAAAATGCTATGAATTGCGAAACTTTTGCTGTGGTTTTATTTTTGTGTTTTTATTTTCCAAATTCATGACACTTTGAATACGTCTTCCTTGTATAACTACTGAAGTACAGAATTGTTTCAACTGCAAATTTGAAATACCTTGACGACCTTCTCTTTTCCTCCTACTGCAAAACAAGAGCACTGCAAAAGTTTTGCAGTTTACAGTACTCATCTAAATCCCTATTGTTTAACATGTATTATGCTATGTGTGACATCCTTTTTTCTTTGTTGTGCATCTCTAGTACAATTCAGGGAGACTCCAAAGTACAACAACCGGCGGCGTGCGTCCGTAGCGCTGTCCAAACACCTGGGAATTCTGCATCGCACCAGAAGCTGCGGGACCTTGGACCTCTCAAACCTCCGCTCCATCTCCCCCTCCCCCTCCATGACCAGTCTTCAGAGCCTGGGGACCATGTCCTTACAATCCTCACTGAACATGGCACCACATTCCCAACACCATCACTCGAATGGTACCCCCGCCATGTCGGTGTCATCCACTAATTCGTCGCCAGCAAATTCGCAGCCGTCTACCCCAACGCCTGGAAGCCCAGTCACTAGTAACAGGAGTGCAACTCTGAACAGGTTACTTGAATCATTGTTTTTTTACACAGTAACTTGAAAGAAGCACTTAAGTTTAGCCTGGATGCCAGTACACTAGGCCGAATGTTAACCAGTGTGCCTTGTGTGCTATGGGTCTGGCATCTGGGATAACTAAAGTTGAGAAAAATGATAATTTTAGAAAGGAAAAAAATGCAGACTACTTCACAGTATGTGATTAAAGAAGTAACCCACCAATTGTGGGCACAAAAAATGTTGGATACATTGTATATTCAAGCTAAAATAAGCATTCTGAAAAGTGCCCTTTAGAAGCATGCACATGTATGTATAGACTCACATGCACTGAGTGCATAGACACATGCACAAGACTTAGCTGTAGAGAGGTCAGTTTGAGAATAAAACCACCGCAAAATTTTCAGTAGCTGCTAGCTGAACCTGCCTGATACGGCCTCGCGGCATGGTGGCAGCCAGTTTCTGTAGATCAGGGATTTCAGTAGCGACTCAGTGTACTTTCTGCACAGTTCATGCCGTTGTTGGGAAAGTACATGGCTTTTCCTTCCTTACATGAATTTAACCACATGTGTCCTGCTGTCTGTACAGAGAGGAACTGGAGAATGTGAAGAAGAGGATGTACACAGCCCTTTTTTTCCCTTTTTTATTGTACGGAACACCCTGAAAGGGTTTGCCACAGATTTACAGATGCACTGTCACCGTTTTAGCCCCCTTAAGTTACTAAAGTATTTGATTTTGGACTGTACAGAGAGGAACTGGAAAATGTGAAGAAGAGGATGTACACAGCCCTGCCTGGGAGACAGTTTGTAGCCGTGAAGAAGTATGTTCCACGGGAGGTCGGGGAGCTGGCACTGGCAAAGGGAGACAAAGTCACAGGTACGGAACGTCGGTCTTTACAATAAGAAATCAGAAATTTAAAACCTCAGGGTAGACTTAGTGTTTCCAGTTTTTTTGTTGTTTTTTTTAGAATTTTTAAGTACTGTACAATCGAAGAAATGGTTTCAATGGACCTAGTAGAACAAAAATCTTGCCATACTTCCAACTTGACCTTAAAGTCAATCTGCAGCAACCACATCCCTCCCCCTTTCCTGTCACTGTACTGTTTTCAAATGCTCATGAAAACCAGCAAACATAGCTATTTACACTTACTTTGAGTTAAAATAACCAAATGAAAACAATGCTTAGTTCGTATTGTGACCTACATGTACAAACATAAAACCACTGCAAATATTTCAAAATTTACAGTATCTTCAACCCTCACTACCAGGTCAAGAGTTTGTTTCTGATGTGTTATCTGTGAGGATGTGATTGACAGGTGGTCAGTAGATGATTGACAGGTGGTCCCTGTACCAGAATGTGAGACTAGGTGTAGGTGTCACCTCTGAGATGGAGGTTAATGCCGACCATACACATGGTACAGCGCTCCACAGGTTGTTGTGTGGTTCATATGGCACACATCTGGTACTCCTACCTGATACTTATCTCACTCAGACACACGATATTTCCCATTAGGGTTGGAAAAAAAGATAAGGTTAGGATATATGACCTGATTTACACCAGGCAAAACAAACCAGTATGAAAACTGCATATGCATGCGAGCACACGAAAACTGCATTTGTCAAATATTTTCCTGCATTTTGATTGACCTGTTTTGGCGTATGTCAAGAACGTATATTCAGAACACACCAGCCCTCACTGTAGCATAACATCTGAATATCGTTCTTGACATACGTCAAAGCAGGCCGATTTACATTCAGGGAAGAGTTGACAGTTTTCGTACGCTTCCATGCGTATGCAGTTTTTGTGCCCACTTATGTTAGCTTGTACATCATCTGTAACAGTTGTTCAGTAATCTTTATAACAGGAATGACAATGGCTGCAGCAAACTGTGTCACACTTTGTAATGAATCTAAGTTGTTGAGTAAAGAGACTCTTTTTACACAACCAAGTCTTTTTGTTTAGCCGATGTTTCGGTGACCGTCTGTCACCTTCCTCAGGGCAATTTTGACTGGTTCACATTGCACTGCAGCACAGGTTTTGCTGCTACAGATGCATTCCCAAATGGACTATATTTACAATATCTGCACATATTGGTTGTGTAAAAAGAGTCTCTGTACTCAGTGTCTTACCAACCTGATGAAACTATTCACGGAAATCTGAGTTGTTGTTTTTTTTTTCCTCTAGTTCTTGGGATCGGTGAGCAAGGCTTCTGGGAAGGGCGTGTGGGGTCGAACGAAGGCTGGTTCCCTTCCGACTGTGTGGAGGAGGTGTCCAACAAACCTACCACAGGTCAGTGTTCCACAGGGAGAAGTACTGGGACCACTCCTGGGTCTCTTACAGTCTAACTAGCTAATGTAACATACATTGTAGAAGTAATCAACTTAAAATGCAAAACATACAATAAAAACCTATGTATGCTAATTATGCTCAGGTACCAGGTAAGAATGAATGAAATTTTTTTACGTGTTTTGGGACTTTTGTCGCCCAGCCCATATGGGCTTATAAGACACCATAACAAGAACATAAACATAGGTACAGAAATCATAGAAACATAATGTTTTGGTAGGAAAGTTATGCATATTGTAATGTCATTATTACAATAAGATTTTGAAGAAATTGAAAGACTTTTCAAAAAGGCCAATTCCAAGGTGGTAACATTTTTTACAAAAGAACAGAAACAGATACATTTATTGTATTCTGTACTTTCGAACAACTTTCAAGTTTTTTTTTTTTTGTTTTGGCAATGGCTACTCACAAACTTTGGTACATTGTTGCATATCTGTTGTAGCTAAAACGCTTTTGGACCATTTGAAGTTCTTTTAGAACAGGCATACAATGTGCTTTCAAAGATCAAAGGAGTTGGAAGAATTATGAGTCTCTCCCACGCAATGTCCTTGTAGCAAGTATTTAGGCCATGTTGATTTGATTATATGGATGACATCCGCGCGCGCATGAATTTTCTGCCGTTTCCAAAAAAAAAAGTTTTCAACCATACTGTAAATTGTACAAAACAGTTGCAAAATGAGCAAAAATATACCATAAGTTACCAATAAAATTAATAAAAACTATACCAATGTCGTAGAATGCCAAAATCAAACGAAAGAAGACGAAATTGTAAAGAAATGAACTTGAAGACTAGATTATTCGCCAAACCATATTCTGTGCCATTTGCTCAACCCTCATGACCACGTAGATTTCATAATGAAAAGAACTTTTTTTTTGGCAAAACTTTTTTTTTATTTGCACGCTCGCATCAGTTTTGGGGCTCCATGTAATCATGTAATGATGTCATCCATGTAATCAAATCAACATGGCCTTAACATGTACTTTGGCAAAGCTCCACTGTGAAGAAGTGCCATATGTTACAAAACAAAATGAGGTCACAGAACAGATTGGGGTTTTCAAGTTAGTAACAACAAATTGAAAATCTCATATCCAAAATATTTTTAGAGTTCCCAATTGTTTTATGAAGTTTACTTGTTTTATTAAGATTTTTCACTGATGCTGTAATTTTTTTCACTGGGACACATACGACAACATACATGAATATAGCAGAAAATTGACAGGAAATGAGATAAGCTTTTCTTGGACCTTTGACCTAATTTCCTGTCCCCGACGTACATTTGGAAATAACTTTGAAATTATAAGCAAAAATACAAACAGACACACCAAAAATGAAACCTCCATAAACAGAGTTAGAAATTGGTCCAACATGTAAAATCTAGTTTATATTCCCGTAAATAATTTCATCAGGTTGGAAGATACTTAGGGTATAGAATTTTCTTCTTACACAACCAGTAAGGTTCTCACCTGCTTACGTTTCGATGTCTATCAGACACCTTCCTCAGAGCTTCTGACTGGAGTTCTGCAACTCGCCGCTAACAATTGTGTGATAGACTGGGAGGGTGCCAGGGTTATAGATAGAGAGGACAATAGAAGAATCCGTTGGATTAAAGAAGCAGTCTGGATAAGGAAGTCAACCCCAGTGATGAACCGGGACGAGGGGGGATACAAGCTCAGCCACGTTTGGGATTGCATTCTCGCCGCAAAAGCGCCACCTACATTGGCGTTAAATAGCGGCGAGTTGCAGAACTCCAGTCAGAAGCTCTGAGGAAGGTGTCTGATAGACATCGAAACGTAAGCAGGTGAGAACCTTACTGGTTGTGTAAGAAGAAAATTCTATACCCTAGTTTATATTCTTTTCTATCAAAAGACCTAGAGGCCATGTACAATATATAATGTACAATATGACATACTTTACAATGTATGACTAAGCAATGCTAAAAATGTTAAATTACCATACTATACTATACCATACTATTGTGATGATTTTTCTCCTGTGATGATTATTGAGTTTACGTATGATTGAAAATACTTCTCTTCTATTATATCTTCTCATCACATAGTTACTGTCTAGTGGTACTTGATAATTTGCACATTCAGTCTTTGGGTCACATCTCTCTGTAGTAAACTGGTTTTCTAAGGGACTGGTCACATACATCGTGCGATCATTGTACAATTGCAAAACTGAGAACATTCTTCTGATAGTCATGCCTGTGTCTGGCAAAGTTTAGTTGTCTTGTTACAGACAATCCTTTTCGGCGGTTGGCTCTGTCACTGGCTGCTTGAAAAATTCTACAACAGCAAAATTGTACGATGATCTACACCACGATGAATGTGATCACGTCATAAATTGCTTCTTGCTGGGACAGAAAACAGCGATAATTTGCATGCATGGCAACTTGGGACTTGATTAGACACTTTTCTAGTAGCTACATTTTCCTAAGCCTTTTCAGGTAATAATATTACACATACTTGTACAATATCAAACCACAATGGTCTTCAACACCACCACACAATCAGGCATGACTGCATGGCCTTTTCCTCTCCCTTTCCACACTATCTCCACCTCCCGTGGAATCTAATGTTTAACCCGATTTTCCCAAGCATGAAATCCTAATGACTGTTTAACCATTTTAATTCACTAACTACTAAATTTGTGATTTGTGAATGATTGAAAAAGGTGGTCCAAGAGTCCACATTTTGTACATGCGTAGCAATTCAAAGCCAGCAGCTTTTAGCTAGACAATGAAATGCTATGCAAATACTGATGAATCTGCTTTTAGCAGCAAATGGCAAATGCCTCAGTGCCATAGTTATATAGCAGCCTTTAGGCCCTAACCTTACAACTAAGCTCTTGCTGTACTCTTGGATGGATGAAATGTAATTTGGCACAATATTCCACACAAACCGTCTATCATAATTCCACATTACAAAAATTCACTTATGAGGTAATATTCTGAAATGGAATAAAAAGATACTGGTAAAACTCGAACACCTTATACTATTATACATTTTGTAATCATAGTACACTGCAGTTCATTATGTAAAATATATGTTCCACTAGCACTCTGGCAAGGGGATTGCTGGCTTTGAGTTGCTACATGTAAATCAATTGGACTGTGTACATACATGTATTGTCATAATCTAACCTCTAGTTAAGTTAAGATTGAGCACTGCAACAACAAATTTAAGATTATGCAAAGCTGTATACAAAGTCTGCTTAAGTCGACTTTTGTATCTTTTGCAACCATATTTTGGAAAAGAGCTGGCTTCTTACTTTATGGAAATTAAGGTCTTTGTTTTTCGATAAGAGAAAGAACAAATTTTAGACATCTTGAGTTGAAAGCAATAGTAACAGTCTTGTGGAATTTATGCTGTACCCCAACTACATGTACAAGCCAACCATGTTCCTGGATGCATTACAAAGTACATGTAATATCAAACACTACATTTGTAGGGTATAGAATTTTCTTCTTACACAACCATAGAGTTTCTCACCTGCTTACGTTTCGATGTCTATCAGACACCTTCCTCAGAGCTTCTGACTGGAGTTCTGCAACTCGCCGCTATTTAACGCCAATGTAGGTGGCGCTTTTGCGGCGAGAATGCAATCCCAAACGTGGCTGAGCTTGTATCCCCCCTTGTCCCCGTTCATCACTGGGGTTGACTTCCTTATCCAGACTGCTTCTTCTGTTGTCCACCTACATTGGTGCCACCTACATTGGCGTTAAATAGCGGCGAGTCGCAGAACTCCAGTCAGAAGCTCTGAGGAAGGTGTCTGATAGACATCGAAACGTAAGCAGGTAAGAAACTCTATGGTTGTGTAAGAAGAAAATTCTATACCCTAAGTATCTTCCAACCTGATGAAATTATTTACGCAAACTACATTTGTACCTTGAGATCTCTATTTTAAAAGCAGTCAAATCTCTTTTGTCCTGTCTGCAAATACAGGTAGAGGGTTGGACAAAAGAACCTTGGCTGCTATGATAGTTTGGATACCAGGCTTTGCTAGACTATTCTATGGAATGAAGCACTCACAGGAGCAAACTGGAGCTTCTAGGCTAGGAACATGGCTGACAAAACAAGCTTGCCCCTAACTATCCTCTTCCACCCTAACTCTGACATGCTGTTTTCTTATTCCCACTGCTGCTACTACAGTGAGGAAAGTCAAACGGAGAGCAGGTAAGCTTTAATAAACACTAAATCTTAACCCAACTCACTACAACATCAGCACAGACCATGCTGGCAACTCTGCAGCTAATGCTAGACTGTTAGCTATTGGACTGATCATCAAAGTTAATGTCAGTTGTAAATGACATGAAAGCTTTAGAAATGTAATTGCATGATGCCCAATTGTGCCTCTACCTTAAGCTGCTGTCACACAATCATAGCCGAATATGGCCTCCCAAACACTGCCAAACTCCCCCCAACCATGGTTAGGAGTATGTCAAGAATAAGGTCGGCTGTGGTTGGCTGGTGTTCAGGAGTAGATCGGCAGTATTTGTGGCATGTTCCATGGTAAAATTTGACTTAAATTTAACTCAAATTTGACTTAAATTTATATCTGACTTAAATTTAAGTCAAATTTGATTTGATTTGTATCGAGAAGAAATCTGGTCAGACTGCTACTGAACTTCAGCCAACCTTGCTTGGTGGTTGGTGGGGAGAAGGTTCTGAATGTGTGACAGGGGCTTTATATTGTGTGTCCCTTCAAGGCTTGCAATGCAGACATTAGCACAAAAACTGGTGCCAATTTAGATGGTGACATTTCAGTTAAATTTGTAATTTTGGTACCTTGCCTAATGTTAACATGAGACAGCTTTTGTAGCTCAAAGTTGGCAGCATGGCTTCTCTGCTCAAATCACACCTTCTAACATTAAAATCATTCACCCGAACAAGTCAACAAGTCACAGTTTATTTGATGTACATACAAGGGACAAGTGGTGGTGGTTGAACACTGTAAAAATATTGATGGTTTAACCCTACCATATAGAGAGACAAGGGTCTACAGAGCGCTATCGCAGGCTGTCATCCCACAGTATATCAAACGAATACTTGCACTACCGAGGCTCGGTACGACCAATGAAAAGAGAGGACCCTCCCCGACCTGCGAGCCCTATAAAAGCCTTCACAATTGGTCGGAGTAGTGGGCTGTGGATCGGTGGGGAAATACGCCTCGAAGAAGAAGGTAGACGGCAACGGAACGTTGTCGTGCAGAGGTGGATGCTGGGAAGGGTCGTAGTTCAGTTCAGCAGTAGCGAAGGCGCATTGCACTATCAGCTGTGGAAAAAGCATCACGCTTTGAGGTCGACCAAGAAGAGAGAGAATTCAAACACTTATATTGCATCACCTTATTATATTAACCATCAGCTTGCTAAGGTTGCCATTTGGTGCCAAGTTTGTGTTGGTTATGGGGTGAGGAAGAGGTTAAAAAGAGCTGGTTATGGGATATAAGGTGAGCCACATATGTGACAGGTATGAGCTTTCTGGCTTTTTAGAAATAGCCAGTACAAGTATAATGCACCAAAAATTCCATACTTTGTTAGTGTGGATGTTTGGCATGTAAACAAGTGCTTTGGAAAAAAATGGCTACATTTAAAATGTGGCTGCAAACAGCTTTTAAAAAAGAGATACTAGTAAATTTAGCTGTAAATTCATTATTCAGATTCTAGCTTGTGCTTGCAGACAATCAAACTCAGCTTGAAGGGTTTAGAATAAGGCTGGTTGTTATGAATATTAAGGCAAAACAAGTCGAAAAAAACATTGATATAACAATTTATACGTTTTGCAGAAATGAAGAAATTGCAGGGAAACCCTCCTCCAAACGACAGTTTAGCTCGTAAGATGCTAAGAAACGTAGAAGGGAGTGTGCATGTGCGGGAGGTAGCCATGTGGTGAGGGAGAGAGCTTCTACAGTCAGCAGAGCTACTGGATTGAGACTGACTGAGTTTACTGTGTCCACAAATACTGAAGGTACATTTTGTACATATTTAGTCTACCTGTACAGTACAGATCTCATTTAACTTCTCTTGCCTAAGCGTTTAACACACTGTTTTAACTCGTTTATGTTGTTCATTTCTCGTTTAATAATCATGTAATATTTGGTTTATTGGTCAAACATTACCCCTGCAATCGCAACCTTTTATAGCACTGAATTAATGCAGGGTTTACAATCACATAATACACATGATACGTAAAACATTTTGCTCCATGCACGGGCACAATGTCGGAGTGCATGTCCACACATGTCCCAGGTACAACTCGGGATCGAACCCTGGTCTCGCAATTTCATAGTCGAATGCTCTACCACTACACCACCCAACACCACGTAACACAAACATGGTTAAAACTCATTCAAAAGGCATGTAAATTGTGTGCACTAATATTAGCTGCAACCGCGTGTCTATCTATAACTATATCACCACACACAAATACACAACATGTACATGTATTTTACACGAGAAATGAACATGATTTAAAGTAGAAGTGCACAGCTTTTAATTGTTATTTGCTTGACATTTTTATTGCGATTTGCATCTTGTAGATGGGAATTTATTTGAGATCAGTACTGTACTTAAGGCAGCCGTTCCCACCAGACAGCAATTGCTGAGCAACCAAAATAGAATTTGTACAACACTTAATTTAATTTTGTAATTATTAGAAGTGTGATTTGAAAGGCAGCAAAACACACAGAATTTGAAAAAAATTTATGTATGAAATTTGTTTAGTCAAAGTTTTGGTTGCTTAGCAATGGCTGTCTCTAGTGGGAAGCTCAGGTTGGTTGCGGTGTCACTAACCGAGGTTGTAAGGGTGTGGATTGGGTGTACTTCAAAACTAACACCTTAGAATATCCAAATATGGTACTGGGAGTAAGGTGCCATGGTGCACAGTTGGGATGAGCTCATTGCCATTAATCAAGTTATAATGAAAGAAAGTTTATTGCAAATACTTGCTCGAGGGCTAATTGCAGTTACAAACAACATAGAAAGAAAATACAGTGATATGTGAGACTATATCTACTTCTAACATTATACTATATGCTACAACATGACATGACCATAATATAATTGACCAATGAGAAGCACCAAAGATCTTCTCTGAAGGAATGCAGAGGTGATTACCAGGATGATTGACAAATTAGCAGTTTATTATTGGTCATAATCATGTTTGAATCATGTTCTACATGGCAGAAAAATTATCATTCTATCATAGGTATAATCATGTTTGAATCATGTTCTAAATGGCAGAAAAATTATCATTCTATCCAAGAAGGTTAAATACAAGTTTGATTTTAATTCTCCCTGTTCTATCATAGGTCATAATCCTCTTTAATTAGTATTGACCAATCAGAAGAAAGGACTGTACAAATATAATGCAGCCTGGTGGTTAGCCTCCACCAGGCATTTCTACAGGAATACGGATCGTAGAATTTGGCAAAAAAGAGAATTAAATGGGCCAAGGGAGTCCGGCCGCGGGGAGGTCGTTTTGCGCTCCACCTGCAAATATTCTCCTATATATAGCCAGCGTAGTTAGTCTGGTAGAGACTACCTGGAGGTGGTGAAGGGGGATGATTGACAGGTAGAGAAATTAGCATATTGCCATAAGTCATGATCAAGTTAGACATTGACCAATGGGGTGCCAGCAGAGGAATGCCTGCTATTGGGGGGAGGGAGTTTGATTGACATATGGAGGTCAGTGTTGACATATGGAGGACAGTTGTGTCAGGAAGTTGACTCAGACAGATGCTGGGATTTCAAAGGTCATCATAACTTCAACCATCTTCTTTTTGATCTTGAAAAAGGAGGACATGACTGTTTGTCTAGTCTGAAGGAAGGTTTGCTCACAAGGAAGACCAGTCTATTGTCAGTGGTTCTTAGGGGTGTATTGAATCAATTTTACAAATTTCTTAATTTTCATATGAGTGTACAACCCTGAAACTTTATAGGTATGTTTTGCTTGCTACATTGTTAAGTAAAGTTTACAATCCTTGTTGAATATTGTTGGTTTTATAGAAATTTTTTTATTTTTAAAACAAAATAATTATCATCATTGCACCCTTCAATGTTTGAAAAGGTATAGCCTTCACTATATTTAGTGCAATACCTGTCCACTGTCTACTTTTTGAATTTAACAACTTAAAATGCTCATCAGTTTTAAAATCAACCCCAAAGATAAGGAATGGTGTTAATCATAGAAGAGACTTGTAACAAAAGCTTTGATTGGCAGCTATGGGTATTCAGCTGCACACATGTAGTGTGTAACAGTGCTAACTGACCATGCTAAATGGTCGTGCGACCTTTTAGTGTAATGGTTAGCGTTGGTGACCGCCAAGCGGACAACTCGGGTTCGATTCCCGGTTGTGACATGCTCGCCCCTTTCGGTTTTTACAGTGGCGCCCGATGTGGGCCCTGTGAGTACTGGCACTGAGGATAAGTGTGGCAGCTCCAGGGATGTCGGACTCGGAAGATTCGAGGACGAATCTTGAAAGAAAAGGGGGAGTAGTGTAACAGTGCTAACTGACCATGCTAAATGGTCGTGCGACCTTTTAGTGTAATGGTTAGCGTTGGTGACCGCCAAGCGGACAACTCGGGTTCGATTCCCGGTTGTGACATGCTCGCCCCTTTCGGTTTTTACAAGTGTCCCATCCAATGGTTGACCCCAATATGTTCCTATAGCTAATAGTTTTTCCCATCTTATCTAAGATATCAGAGGAATTACTGATAAGGTGTCAGTCTTATACCCAAAGGAGTTACTTTAAGTTGCACCAGGAGGAAAGCTTTAAGATCTGAACTGTTTTGAAGAAATAGGTTTATCAGATAAGGTCATTGACCCAATCTTAGGTAAGGGTTACTGTACTCCATGTACATCTGATGTGCATACTGCCCAAAACACTTTTTTACCACTCACTCAGTAATAAATATCCAATTTCTCATTTGAAATTTCTAAAGGGCATACAAAAATATATGTTTGAAAATAAAAGGGGGCCCGCAAGCCCTTTTCCGTAGAGCATAATCGGCTGTTTTAATTCTACGTAGAGCGTAGACGGACCACAAAGCGTAATCGGTAGGTTTTCGAATTCAGCGTAGAGCATTGTTGGGACCCCCCTTGCATGCCCTCATAAAACAAAGACCTTAAAAAAAATTTGGATAAAACAGGGCAATTTGAACGGACAACAACTATGC